TGCGCCACCAATCAATTAATTGAGTTCAAAATAATTGCAATTAATTGCCCCTACAATCAATTATTCGGTAGGCCTGTGTAATATGCATCTACGCCAATCTGAAAGCACTTCAACCGATATTGATAAACAAAATTTTGCTGACTGGCTTTTACAAATTGGAGAAGATCGTGCTGAAAGATTCCCACACAACAACAATTTTATTAAAATTCCGGATGATATCTTTTTACCATCTCAAGACATACGCACATTAATAGATTTTGTATATCCCGATCTTACATCACAGGCTAATAATTCTTCCTACTTAATGGAACGTGGAATTCTTGCTCCCAAAAATACAGATGTCTCTACTATTAACTCTACTATTCTAAATTTATATCCAGGTGACGAAATTGAATATTTAAGCACGGATAGTATTGACGAATCAACAGGAAATAATCACATTACTAATGAAAATCTATATCCTGTTGAATTTTTAAATTCATTGAACATAAGCGGATTACCCCGCATAAATTATCACTCAAAATAGGTGCCCCTGTTATATTACTTCGTAATATCAATCCTTCAGAAGGTCTTTGCAATGGAACACGTTTAATATGTTGCGCATTTTTACCCATGTTATCGAAGTGCAAATTCTCACAGGAAAGCATACTGGATCACGTGCATTCCTTCCTCGAATTTCCCTTACCCCTTCAAATACTAACTTACCTTTTCCCTTTAAATGTCATCAATTTCCTATTCAACCTGCCTTTGCGATGACAATTAATAAGGCACAAGGCCAAACCTTAAATCATGTTGGTGTTTATCTTCCTACGCCTGTCTTTTCACATGGTCAACTCTACGTTGCTTGCTCTAGATCTACTTCCCGCCAATCTCTTAAACTCCTAATATCTGGTCAACATGCCGAAGCAGGTTACACCCAAAATATCGTATATCCTGAAGTACTACAATAACTCTTCTGAAATTAATTTTTAAAGCTTATCTACTTTATAAGTTTCTATTATATTTTTTTTTTTATTTCTTATTTACTATTATTATAAATCTAAATTATTTCTTAATTAACTTAATTATTTTATACCATATATTTTGTATTAATTTAATTATCTATATATATATTAATTTACATCTTTAAACTATCTA